TATGTTCATTAGGGATATCAGCCTGTAGTTTTCTTTTTTTGTAATATCTTTGACTGATTTGGGGATCAGAGTAATACTGGCCTCATAAAATGTGCTTGGGAGCCTTCGCTCCTTCTGGATTTTTGGGAATAGTTTGAGGAGAATAGGTATTCTTTTTTGAATGTTTTATAAACTTCACCTGTGAAGCCATCTGGTCCAGGACTTTTGTTTGTTGGAAGCTTGTTGATTACTGATTCAATTTCTTTGGTAGTCATCAGTCTGTTCAGAGGTTCTTGGTTCAGACTTGGTAGATTGTAAGCTTCTAGAAATTTATCCATTTCTTCCAGAGTGTCTAATTTGTTGGCATATAGTTGCTCGTAGTATTTTCTTAACATTTTCTGTATTTCTGTGGTATCTGTTGTCACTTCTCCTCTTTCATTTCTGTTTTTATTAATTTGGGTCCTGTCTCTCTTTTTCTTGATGAGTCTGGCCAAGGGTTTGTAGATTTTGTTTATCTTTTCAAAAAACCAGCTCTTGGTTTCATTGATCTTTTGTGTTGTTTTTTTTTTTTTTTTTGGTCTCTATTTCATTTATTTCTGCTCTGATCTTTATTATTTCTTTCCTTGTATTCCCTTTGGGCTTGTTTTGCTGTTCTTTTTCCAGTTCCCATAGATGTAAAGATAGTCTGTTTATTTGAGATTTTTCTTCTTTCTTTAGGTAGGCCTGCATTGCTGTGAACTTCCCTCTTAGAACTGCTTTCACTGTATCCCAGAGATTTTGGGTCAGGGTATTTTCCTTTTCGTTTGTCTCGAGGTATCTTTTGATTTCCTCCTTGATCTCAGTTTTGACTCACTTGCTATTTAGTAGCATGTTATTCAGCCTCCATGTATTTGTGTGCTTTCTGGGTTTCTTCTTGTAATTGATTTCTAGTTTCAGAGCATTGTGGTCAGAGAAGATGCTTGATATGATTTCAGTCTTCTTAAATTTATTGAGACTTGTTTTGTGTCCTAGCAAGTGGTGTCTATCTTGGAAAATGTTCCATGTGCACTTGGGAAGAATGTATATTCTATTGCTTTGGGGTGAAATGCTCTAAAAAGATCGATTAAATCCAGCTGGTCTAAAGCGTCATTTAAGGCCATTGATTCTGTCTTGATTTTCTGTCTGGAGGATCTGTCCATTGTTGACAATGGAGTGTTGAAGTCCCCTACTACGATAGTGCTACTGTTGATCTCTGACTTTATGTCAGTCATAAACAGTTTTATATATTTAGGAGCTCCTATGTTGGATGCATAGATGTTTACTAGGGTTATGTCCTCTTATTGAATTGATCCCTTAGTATTATGTAGTGCCCTTCTGTGTCTTTTACTGTAGTTTTCATTTTAAAGTCTATTTTGTCTGAAATAAGTATTGCTACTCCAGCTTTTTCTCATTTCCATTTATGTGAAATATCTTATTCCATCCCTTTACTTTCAATCTGTGTTTCTTTTGATTTGAGATGAGTCTCTTGTAAATAGCATATGCATGGGTCCTGTTTTCTTATCCACTCAGCCACTCTGTCTTTTTGATTGGAGCCTTTAGCCCATTCACATTTAAAGTGATTATTGATAGTTGCATATTTATTGCCGTTTTGTTATTTGTATTTCTGGTCTTCGTTGGTTAGCTTGTTTTCCCATTTCTTCTGTTTAAAAAAGCACTTTTAACATTTCCTGCAATGCTGGCTTGGTGGTAATGAATTCCTTAAGCTTATTCTTTTCTGAGAAGCTCTTTCTCCTTCAATTTTAAGTAATAGCCTTGTTGAGTAGAGCAATCTTGGTTGTAGGCCTTCATTTTTCATCACTTTAAATGTTTTCTGCCTCTCCCTTCTGGCCTGCAGAGTTTCTGTGGAAAAGTCAGCTGCTTGTGTTATAGGAGTTCCTTTGTGCGCAACCTGCTGTCTTTCTCTCGCTGCTTTTAGGATCCTGTCTTTGTCTTTAACCTTTGCCATGTTTACTGTGATGTGTCTTGGTGTGAAATGTTTGGGTTGAGCTTGTTTGGAACTCTCTGCACTTCCTGNCTCCAGGTTGAGCTGTTGTTCAGCATCTTAGCTGTAGAGGGCAGTGTCACTGGCCCTCATCTGTGGGATCCAAACCGGGGCCCTCTGGTGTCCCAAGCCAGCTCTTAACCAGTACGCCACTCGGCTGGCCCAGCGTGATACTATTCTTAACATAAGAAATGTCCAAACCTATAAAGAATTTTTATAAGAGTTTATTTGAGCCAAACTGACAACATGCCAGGAAGCAAGATCTCAAATGCTCCCCAGAATGACAGTTTGCAACATTTTTTATGCATTTGAAAGTGAGGGAATATAAGGAAAGTTACATGAATATGGGAGAAAGCAAAACAGGGAAATATTTATGATTCGACTACAGGATAAGATTAGATGTTTTTTTGAGGGTGGTTACGCTTCCGAGGGGTCTGAAAAAGAGGCATTTCAAAGGTTAACCTAGATGCACAAAAACAATGGACAGGGCTTAGTTTAAGGCAAAAATAGCTTATTAGGGAAGTTACAGGCCTGAAGCATACTGCCCACCATTAGCTGCCCAGTTAGGAATTTATGACCAGATCACCCTGTGAAGTTACTTTCAGTTAGATTTACTACAGAGCCCCTTTTTCACCCTCACTATAATGGTGGATGCATGTTATTTTGCATTTGTCCAAGCCTATGGATGGGACAACACCAAGAGTGAACCCAGTGTAAACTGTGGACTTTGGGTAATAGTGGTGTGTCAGTGTAGGTTCATCAATTGTAACAAACATACCACTCTGGTGAGGGATGTTGACAATAGAGAGGCTGTGCATGTGTTGGAGCCAGGGCTACATGGGAAATCTCTGGACCTTCCTCTCAATTTTGTTGTGAATCTAAAACTGCTGTAAAAAAAATTCTTTAAAAAAATTTAAGCCTTTATTGCCGAAATGTTACTAACACAAACAGTTTTATTTAGATATCAAGTAGAACAACCCAAAAAACTGTACAGTAAGTCCCCGACTTAAAAACATTCAAGTTGCGAACTTTCACAGATATGAACAGACCTCTCATTACGAACATTCTTAGATGGGAACAAATCACGGAAGTAGCTCACGTGTGTGAGCTCAGGTGTGGGCCAAATTCCATCTTGCCCTCCATCTCCTATCGCTGATGGTCCTTCAGCTCCACCATCTCCCCCCTACCCTCCCTCCTCCAGTTAATAACTCTCCTCTTGTTAGTTCACTCCATGCAATCCCCTATATGCCAGTTGTACTGTACCACCATTTTAAGGTAACTAAAAGTAAAAATAGTTTATTTACAGTATTTTTGTGTGTGTGTTTAGTTTTTTTATGCTTTACATTGTATATTTGTGTCAAAGGTTTATGAGACTTACTGTATCAGACTTACAAATGAGTCAGACTTATGAATGAATTCGACTTTCAAACGTTCTCCCGGAAGGAAACTCGTTCATAAGTCGGGGACTTACTGTACTCAAAACTAGAATATTTTCTTTCTAATTAAACTTATGGCACACATTTTCTCTGAAATGGCACTGTAAACATGGGTTTTAGAGTTAGAACTAAAATGCAGCTCTCCTGTTATTTAGTTCTATAACAAATTACTTTATCACTGCGAACCTCAGTTTACTTATCTACATAATGGAATAAAAATCTACCATAGCATTTTTATGATTATAGCATTGTTATAATGATATTAAGGTAACGGATGCAAAGTACATCTTACCATCCCTGGCACATAAAGACTCTCACAGAATACTTGTTCATACCAATCTATTAATGCTGATGTTCTAATTCCTTTCCTTAGAGTCATAATCCCCATAATTTACTGCTGTAGCCCAAACCCCACCAACTATTATGCTATGCAGACAGAAATTTCTTGGTCGTCTTGACACTTCAAGAAGGAAAAACCTTCAGTATTCTGTGCCCCTTTGACCTGCCTTCCCACTGGGGCATGTCACAGCTAATTTCAAGCATGCCCACTGCCAAGAAGGACACGATGTGCCTTTGTACCCAGTGTTCATTTGTCTGTGCTCAGAAGAAAATAAATAGGGCCCACTAAAAGCAAGATTATGAAATCATAAATTTGTATTGAACATCTATAGCCTCTGCTTTTCTTTCTTCTTCTGCTTCAACTGTGGACAGTTAGCTATATCTTTTTAACTTCAGGCCTCTTCTCTCTATCAGAAAACAAAGATATCTGATATGATCTTAGATGAAACTTAGTCATGCCATTTTGCAAATTCTGTAATTTTGTCATTTCTGTCTGCACTGTCTGAATTACTGTAACTTTATAATCAGTACTGCTGTCCATAGTAGTCTTCCATCATTTGAAAACCTTGGCAATATAAATATTAATTAATGAAAATCAGGTATTCAGGGAAAGGATGAGGAAGGGCTAATATCCTCAACTTTGATATCAGAGGCAGAAATGAATTTTCAAAAACTTTTTAATGGAAAGTTAGAAAATAATGATGTCAACAGAATAGTATAATGAGCGCATAGGTACCCCTCCCTTACTTTGCACATGTCTTCTGTAACACCTACTCATTTCCCACCCCACGTACTCCAGAGGTAGGATTATTTTAAAGCAAATCTAGAGGGATCTTTAGAAGCTGATATTTCTGTTACAAAGAAACATTTACCTAAAGTTTAATTTTTTCTTTAGTTTCTGTATTAACTTCAAACAAAATTAGATTTAACTTTTTCTATTGAAAGTAACATTTTTGTAAAATGATGATTTTCTGTGTCTTACTATCTGAGTAATGCATAGAGAAACATCTAGAGTGATGATGATCATTATGTTAATAATGGTTATTTTTGGATGGTGGAATTTGAGTGGTTTTTTAAATTCTCTACACTTTTTTGCATCTCTTATTTTTTTTCTAATGAGTTATCTAATTTTTATAAAAATAATAAAGTATTTATTGAACAATGACAAAAAAAAGTTATAATATTAAGAGTTTGTTTAAATCATTTATAAAAATTTTAACTTTCAGGGTGCAGTTCTACCTCAAGAAATAAGTCAAGTAACTCTACATCATAAATCTGGCTTAAATGACAACGATGTTAAATGTCAGCAAAGAAAACTTGAGCCTCATAGAAAATGTAAGTTTTAGGTTACAGAATTATACTTGTGGTGCTAACTGCTTCTTTATATTTTTATTAACAACTTTACTGTGTTATAATTCACATAACATAAAATTCATCCTTTTAAAGTGATTTTTTTTGGCATTTTCAGAGTTGTACAACCAATACCACTATCTAAATTGAGAACATTTTCATCACCCCAAAAAGAAAAATCATACCTATTAGCAGTCATCCCTCCAGCCCCTGGCAACCGCTAATTTACTTTCTGCCTCTATAGATTGGCCTGTTCTGGACATTTCATATAAATGGAATCATAAAATATGTGGCCTTTTATGACTGGCTTCTTTCACTAGACATAATGTTTTCAAGTTTCATCCATGTTGTAGCATATATCAATACTTAATTCGTTTTTATAGCTGAATAATATTCCATTGGATGAATACTACATTTTGTTTGTTTATTTTATTTTGTTTATTTATTTATTTTTTAATTAATTTTTTTTTTTTTAGCTGAGCCACCCTGCCACCTGTGGGCAGCTCAGCAGCAACTCACCTCAGGCCGTGAATGGAGCTGGCAACCCTGTTGCTCAGAGCTTACACTCTTGAGCGATCTCTTACCCAGCTGAGCTACTCAGCCAGCATCTCTATTCATCTATTGATGGACATTTGGGTTGTTCCATTTTGGGGCTATAATGAATAATGCTGCTGTGAATATCTGTGTACAAGTTTTTGTGTAAACATATGTTTGTAGTTCTCTTGGGTATATATGAATTAGTGGAATTACTAAGTCATATGTTAACTCTATGTTTAACTTTTTGTGGAACCATCAAACTGTTTTCCAAAGTAGTTATACCATTTTATATTTCTACCAGCAATGTATAAGCTTCTTTTTTTTTTTAATTTTTTTATTGTTAGTTTCAGGTGTACAGAACAATGCAATAGTTATCCTTTTCACCCTCACAAAGTAACAACCCCTCTCCCCCATCTACTGCCCTCCCACCCCCGATATCATACTTATCTATTATAATTCCATTGATTCCATTCCCACTCTCTACTCCATGTCCTGTGACTATATGTATGTATAATTACAGTTGACATACAGTATTATTCAACATCATCTTCAGAAATACAGTGCGGTGGTCAGGTCTCTACACCGACTATGAAGTGGTCTCCCCAACAGGACATGATTCCATCTGGCCCCCTAAAAAATATTTACATTATTAATTCCCCAAACTGTCTTTTCTATCCCTGAGGCCGTATTGTAATTACCAATTTGTATTGTCTCATCCCTTCCCCTTCTCCTTCATCCCCACCCCCTCCCAACTAGCAACTCTCAGTTCTTCCTCTGTGTCTCTGAGACTATCTCCATCCACTTCTCCCATCCATTCAGTTCCTTAGAATCCACGTATAAGTGAGATCATATGATATTTGTCTTTCTCTGACTGACTTATTTCACTTAGCATAATGTTCTCTAGTTCCATCCATATTGTTGCAAAGGGTACTATTTCCTTCTTCTTTATAGCTGAGTAATACTCCATTGTGTAAATGTACCAAAGTTTCTTAATCCAGCCATCTACCGATGGGCATTTTGGTTGTTCCAAGTCTTACCTATTGTGAATAATGCCGCAATGAACATAGGGGTACATATATTTTTTTGGATTAATGTCTTGGGATTTTTTTGGATAAATACCGAAGAGTGGGATTGCTGGGTCATAAGATAGTTCCATTTTCAGATTTTTGAGGTACCTCCATACTGATTTCCATAATGGCTGCACCAATCTGCAGTCCCACCAACAGTGCACCAGGGTTCCCTTTTCCCCACAGCCTCACCAGCATTTGTTGTTTGTTGATTTATTGATGATAGCCATTCTGACCGGGGTGAGGTGGTGCTTCTTTGTTTTTTTTTAAAGATTTTATTGGGGAATTGGGGGAGGGGAACAGCACTGGGGAATTGGGGAAAGGGGAACAGACAAGTTGCTGTCATTTCGTTCTTCAGTCTAGTTGTGAGGACGTTGCTTCACTGGCCCATGTTGGTATCATTGTGCTCTTCCCGGGTGAGGCAGATCGGTCGCTGACCTCTGGATGGCCGCTCACGGTGGCTCTTGGCAGCTCTCACCGACTGCCAGCTGCTCACGCTGGCTGCCAGCCACACACGGTAGCTTATGGCAGCCCACTGCAGCAGGGGCTGCAGCCTACGCTGTTGCCAGCAACTCCCGGCAGCCCAGCCCAGGTCGAGCTGTTATTCACCATCTTAGCTGTAGAGGGCAGTGTCTCTGGCCCCCAAGTATGATCCAAACCGGGGCCCTGCTGCTCAGAGCTGGCGTCCCAAGTCAGCTCTTAACCAGTGCACCACTCGGCCGGCCCTGTATAAGCTTCTAATTTCTCCACATCCTCCATGACACTTGTTATTGTCTGTCTTTTAAATTTTTTATTTATTTAAAAAAATTTTTTTTCAGTTACAGTGGACATTCAGTATTATTTTATATTAGATTCAGCTGTGTAGCATAGTGGTTAGACATTCATATTTATACAGTGATCCCCACGATTAGTCTAGTACCCGCCTGGCACTATATATAGTTGTTGCAACATTATTCACTATATTCTCTATATTCACCATGACTATTTTGTAACTACCAATTTGTATTCTTAATCCCTTCACCTTTGTCACCCAGATCCCCAAATCCCTCCCCTCTGGAAATCATCAGTTTGTTCCCTGTATCTATGAGTCTGTTTCTGTTTTGTTTCTTCATTTCCTTTGTTCTTTAGATTTCACATATAGGTGAGATTATGTGGTATTTGTTTTTCTCAGTCTGACTTATTTCACTGACAGCATTACACTCAGCCCATCCATGTTGTCTCAAATAGTAAGATTTCATTCTTTTTTATCGCTGAATAATATTCCATTGTATATGCTATGTACCACCTCTTCTTTATCTAATCATCTATTGATGGATACCCAGACTGCCTTCATATCTTGGCTATTGTAAATAGTGCTGCAGTGAACATAGAGGTGCATACATCTTTCAGAATTAGTGTTCTGAATTTCTTCAAATACCCAGAAGTGAAATTGCTTGGTCATCAGGTAGTACAATTTTTTGTACTACCTTTTATTTTATGAGGAACCTCCAAACCGTTTCCATAGTTGCTGCACCAATTTGCAATCTCATCAACAGGGCACAAGTGTTCCCTTTTCTCTGCATTGAATTTTTATATTATTAATTCTGTATCTTGCTACTTTACTGAATTCATTTATCAGTTCTAATAGCTTTTTTGTGGAATCTTTAGGGTTTTCTTTTTTTATTATTAGTTTCAGGTGTACAAAACAATGCAATAGTTATACTTTTTACCCCTCACAAAGTGACAGTCCCCCCTCCCCCAATCCACCGCCGACTCCCTCCCCCATATCATACATATCTATTACAATTCCATTGACTCCACTCCCCACACTATACTCCACATCCCTTGATTATATATATATTAATTTATAGTTGACATACAATGTTATTCAACGTCAGCTTCAGGTGTACAGTGCAGTGATCAAGCCTCTATCCCCTCCATGAAGTGGTCTCCCTTACAAGACATGTGACCATCTGACACCCTACAAAATATTTACAACATTATTAATTATACTCCCCGAACTGTCTTTCATGTCCCTGTGGCAATATTGTAGTTACCAATTTATGCTGTCTAATCCCTTACCCTTCTCCCTCATCCCCACCCCCTCCCATCTAGCAACCATCAGTTTTCCCTCTATATCTCCGAGACTATTTCTGTTTACTTTGCTCGTTCATTCAGTTCTTTAGATTCCACATATAAGTGAAATCATATGGTATTTGTCTTTCTCTGACTGACTTATTTCACTTAACATAACGTTCTCCAGGTCCATCCATATCGTTGGAAATGGTAAGATTTCATTCTTCTTTATAGCTGAGTAATACTGCATTGTATAAATGTACCACAGTGTCTTAATCCAGTCATCTACTGATGGGCATTTCACTTGTTTCCAAGTCTTGGCCATTGTAAATAATGCTGCAATAAACATAGGGGTGCATATATTTTTTCCATTTAGTGTCTTGGGTTTGTCTGGATAGACACCTAAGAGTGGAATTGCTGAGTCATAGGGTAGTTCCATTTCCAGTTTTTTGAGATACCTCCATACTGATTTCCATAATGGCTGCAGCAATCTGCAGTCTCACCAACAGTGCACCAGGGTTCCCTTTTCTCATGACCTTGCCAGTACTGGTTGTTTGTTGATTTATTGATGATAGCCATTCGGACTAGAGTGGGGTGGTATCTCATTGTGGTTTATATTTGCATATCTCTAATGATTAGTGAAGTTGAACATTTTTTCATATGCCTCTTGGCCATCTGTATGTCCTCTTTAGAGAACTGCCTCTTCATATCCTCTGCCCACGTTTAATTGAGTTGTTTGCTTTTTTGGTGTTGACTTGAATGAGTGTTTTATAAATTCTGGATATTGACCCCTTATCAGATATATCGTTGGCAAATATCTTTTCCCATTCAGTAGGCTGCCTTTTTGTTTTGCTGATGATTTCCTTTGCTCTGAAAAGCCTTTTAAGTTTGGTGTAATTCCCATATGTTTATTTTTTCTTTTATTTCCCTTGCCCAAATGGATATATCAGTAAAAATATTACTGAGGGTATTGTCTGAAAATTTACTTCCTATATTTTCTTCTAGGAGTTTTATGGTTTCAGGTCTTACATTTAAGTCTTTAATTCATTTTGAATTTGTTCTTGTATGTGGTGTTAGTAGCTGGTCCATTTTCATTTTTTTGCACGTGTCCAATTTTCCCAGCACCATTTATTAAATAGACTATCTTTACTCCAATGTAAATTTTTGCTTTCTTTGTCATAGATTAAATGACCATATATGGATGGGTTTATTTCTGGGCTCTGTATTCTGTTCCATTGATCTATGTGTCTGTTTTTATTCCAGTACCATACTGTTTTGATTACTGTAGCCTTGTAGTATGATTTGATGTTGGGTAATATGAAACCT